TTTAAACGATTTTAAGTTCGAATTTTCGAAAATTTCAGTTAAGAATAATTTGAATTGTAAAATTGTGAAGAAATTAATTTTCTGGAGAATGGTAATGAATATTTTTTGAAGATATAATTGGATTCTCAGAAGTGATCTGGTTTTGAAAATTTCTCGTATAATTTAGTAAAATTTTATATTCAAATGAATTTAATATTTTAAAGACGATTATTGAAAATTCTTTTAAATCCTGCTTTCTTTTTTTCCAAAATTTGTATTTTTTTTCAACCGGATTTTAATTGAAAATTGTTCAAAAGTAATAATTGAATTTTACGAAGATTCGCAAATCGCAATTGAAATTTAAATAAAGAAATATAGGGATAGAAAAAAGATAAAATTCTGTCTAAAATCAGGTCATATTTAATAACATGTAATTATTTATTTAATTAATTTTTAATAAAAATAATATTTAATTTAATCGTTTGAATAAATGTGGATTGATTTTTTAAAAAACAAATAACATCTTTTACTATATTAGAACAATCCAAAAAAGTTAAACATCTTTAAAAAATAATATTTAATATTTTGAATTTAAAATGCAAAAAAAGAAAGAAAAATACAAGATCAGTAAAACTGAGTATGTTTCATCATAAACTTTACTATATCAGATAAAGGGAAAAAAAGGAAAAAATTTTTGATATTAAATTGAGAATGATTCCAAATAATAAATATTAACAAAAACACGAGACGTGAATTTAAAATGTGAATCCTTGCACTACTCTGTATATATATGTGGTTTGGCCTCTCTTCTTTGATCTCACCGATTCTCTAACTCTGTCTTTTTTATCTTGTTTCGTGTGATACCCTAGAACCTACATGGCAGATCAAGATGTTTGTGTACAGGTGATTCTTTAACGTTCAGATAAGACGAAAAATCAATGCTAGTAATTTTGTTCCTCCGATAAAGCAAAAATAAAGAAAACAAATTTCCAATAGATTGAAAAAATATCAGTAAATTTTTACCTTGGTGTCAATTTTTTTTTTTTTAATAAACTTTGCTGCCTACTTTCCCAAAAAAATTCTCTCCTTTCATTTTGTTTTATGCGGCATATAAAATGAACTAAGATATCTACTTAAAAATTTAACTTACATTTTTCCGCACTTGTAAATTTCATACCCTTTGAAAAATAAAAAAAAAACATAAAATTACAGAATTATTCTGTAATTTTAAGGTTTTTTTATTTTTCAAAGGGTGTGAAATACAGGTAAAAAAATAGTGATCTAAAATTCCAATTCTCTGAAAGTATAAATGGTAAAAATGACCTCGATAGAGTTTAATATTCCTTAAGAAAAAAAAACTATTTTATCTCCTTTATCCTTATTTTTATGGTCATTGGTTGTTGAAAACCACATTGTAAGGTACTTTTTTGTCAGTTTTTATAATACTTTCTTCACCACCGAAGAAGTACGTGTCTCATATAACATTGTTATATAATCAGATTATCATATAATCATGAGGTCAACTACCTAACATGAAATTTAATATTATACAAAAATATTTCGGAAATCGATCTATATAATTTTTTTCCCAAGGGCAAAAATTTCCACAAGGGACGAAAATTTCGCAATTTAACACTGTAGAGAATAAATTCTAACTTAGACAACTTTTAAAAATTTTAAAAGCTTAAAAATATATGCTACATTTAAATTCAATGATTTTTTAAAGATTTTCAATTAAAATCATTGAAAAACACGGTTTTAGAAAAAAAATACGATTTAACAGAATTTCAATAATAAACTTTAAAATATTAAATTTATTTCAATAAAATTTCACTAAATTGTGTCAGAAATTTTCAAATGATCATTGTTGAGAATTAAATTATCATCGAAAAAAAATAAACTAAAATTTTCCAGAAACCAAATTTATTAAAAATATATTAATTAAAATTATTTCAATTAAAATTTTAAAAAAATTGAATTTAAAATCGTTTAAAAGTCTATTATTTGAAATAATTGCTAAAGTACTTTTTCAAAAAATCAATTCTTTTCCAAAATTTCAATCTAAAATTTTTCACTATATCAATTATTGATAATAATTTTGAGAAACCGTAAATTTTCAAATGATTATTGTTGAGAATCCAATTATCTTCGAACTCAAATTTTTCACTATTTCAATTCAATACTTAAAATAAATTGTAAATTTTGCAATGATCTTTTTTAATAATTTAATTATCTTCAAAAAATAGTAGTTAAAATTTTAATTTAGATTAAAATTTTAATCGACATTTTCCAGAAACTCAATTTCTTAAAAAAATTTTATTAAATGTATTCCTAATTCAAGCTTTTAAAAATTTAAATTTAAAATCATTTAAAATTTAATTATTTCCAATAATTAAGACTAAATCTTTTTTTTTTAAAATCAATTCCAAAATTCAATTACTTTCTAAATTTTTTAACTAAAGTTTTTCTTTCCATTGAAAAAGTTCCATTTTAAGAAAATTGACATTTGTCGAAAATACCAAATTTCTTAAAAAGTATTTAATGGAAATTATTGAAAATTCGATAAAATTCTACGCAAACATTTAATTATTTTCATAAAATAATAAAAATTTCACAAAAATTCAATTATTTACAAATTTTTTAAAAATTTCTTCGCAATAATTCAATTATTTTCATAAACAATGAAATTCATACAGAGAATGATTTATTTTCGTAAATACTAAAATTCTTTTTATAGAAATTCAATTATTTTCATATAAATAATAAAACTCATCGCAGAATTTCAATTATTTTTAATACAATTTTAGTCAAATTTCTCGAAAAATGTAATTTTTCTTAAAAATTTTATGAAAATTCGTCTAAAGAATTTAATTATTTAAAAATTTGTTGATAAAATTCTTTATGAGAATTAAATTTTAAGAAACATTCAATTATTCAATAAATTATTTATTTTTCTATCTAAATAATTGAATTCTATTTCTAGTAGAATTTTATATTATAAAAATTGTTTTAAAAATGAATTTCAGTTAAAATTTTACATTTAGGAATAATTCAAATTTCGTAAAATTGAATATTGCAAACAAATGTATTTGAAAATTGTTAAAGAACTTTTTCAAAAATTGAAAAATAATTGATAAAAGAAGAATTTTAGTTAAAAATTCTTGATAAAATAATAATTTAATTGAAATCATGGAAATTATTTTTGAAGAAGTTACAGTAATAATATTCTTATAATAAAAAATAAAGATTTTATCCCGGGCTTTAGAATTTTTAATTAAAATCTTTTGCAATTCAACTTTTCTGACACTTCAATTTGAAAAGTTTTTAAAATTTAGTTTATATCAATATTAGTAATATTAATTTAACATTCTAAATTAGTTCAAATTTTTACTAATTCAAATTTCTTTTTTCAAAATCAAAATTCACTGTCATTTTCCGGTTTTCCGGTCCAGCGAGACCATCCTGTTTAATGGTTATATTTTTTCAGTAATAATTGGTTCGTAATTTTTCATTTTCGGTCCGTAAAGTCCGTATTTTATTATTTTTAAATACTCTCACTGGTTCGAGCCCTGTTTCCTGATTTTTCATGTTCCAAAAGTTCTGAACGTGCAAATGTATAACGAAAGCTATTTATTTTTCCTTCAAAGTAAAATTTTTATTAGAATAATTTTGAAATTATCAAGAAACTTATACACAGAAAAAACGATAATCTAATTTTAAGAATCTCCTAATTAAATAGGAGCCAAAAATATTCCCTACTTAAATTAAGTGGCCCCAGTTAAATTAAGTGGGAAATATTCTTACAATGAGATTGATATTCTTATTGTAAGAAATTAAGAATATTTCCCACTTAATTTAAGTGGGGTCACTTAATTTAAGTAAAGAATATTCTTGGCTCCTATTTAAGTAGGAGCTTCTTAAAATTAGATTACCGTTTTTTCTGCGTGTAATCAACTATGAAGAAAATTATGTTTCTGATTCACATCAGAAAAAACGATAATTTAATTTTAAGAAGCACCTACTTAAATAGGAGCCAAAAATATTTAATAATTTAAATAGAGGCCCACTTAAATTAAGTGGGGACACTTAATTTAAGTAGGAAATATTCCTGGCTCGTGGCTCACCATTTAAGTAGGAGCTTCTTAAAATTAGATTACCGTTTTTTCTGTGATGTTAAATTTTAATTTAATTTTAATTTAATTTTTCATTTTTATTACATTCAGTGATTTAAGGAAATCTTTCTAGTGCTAAATGTTTCGTTCATTTGCCGATCATGACTTTTCCCTGATTTCCCTGACCTGTGGCAACCCTGTATTTCTCTCTTTGAAGACGTGAGAACATGCAATGGGAATTGTGAGAAATCGAAGGTATACCACGAAGAGGAAAATGATGATGATGATCAAGAACGAGAAGAAGAAGAAGAAGAAGAAGAAGAAGAAAATAAAGATGAAAATAAAGAAGAAAATAAAGAAGAAAATAAAGAAGAAAATGAAGAAGAAGAAGAAAGAAGAGGTGGAGCAGCATCAACAGCAAGAGGAATAGGTGGCGGCGAGGAGTCATCGTTGGTGAGAGGAGAAAGATGAGGAGGAGGAGGAAGACAAGAGATCGGCAGCAGCAGCAGCAGCAGCAGTTTCATGCCGAGCTCAAGTTGGTTGAGTTCGGTTTCGGATTCTAGTGAGTCAAGGAATAAGGCCCCGAGTTTAACTAAGAGCTGATCCAAGAGTCGAGCTCAGTTGCCTACTGGCAGCTTGTGCTCCTAGTCACACGGCAAAACGGGCCCGAAAGAATTACGGGGTGAAGTTCGTCCAGTTAAACCGGTAACGGGCCTATGTACTCGCCGCTCGAAGTACGCAGTACGTAATACGCAGTTGGTACGAACAGGACGCCACCTAAGTGCCAAATGAACCTTAATATGGTAGCACATCAGTGATTATATTCCCAGCTCTCTAAAATATATTCTCTAATTATTCTCCATTAATAATCTATCTAATCATTATCCATTAATTATTATCCAAAAAGTACTAATTATACAGAATCAAAAATAGATTTTCCCGAAGAAAAATTAATATTCTGCCCCCCCCCTCCTCCCTCTTCTTGGGAAAAAATAAGTGCAACAGGTGTGTGGATGCTGGATTAGAACTGGACATCACAAAAGGTGAGTCCAAAACTTTTCCTTATATCCTTCACAGCAGGAAGGATCACTTTACTTTTATTAATATACGTTTCAAGTGTGAACCTTTCCGACCCCTTGTTTTTTCGGACATGATCGTTATCACACCTCACTTTTGAAGATTCTTCGCGAAAGTTGCTTCTAACAAGTTTTTTTTTTTTTTTTTTCCTCCTGACTGTACAATTTATTGTTGGCAGTGGCTCTTAAGAAGAGCTCTTTCTGACAATTCTTCATTATGGTATCATAACATATAGGAATGAAAGTAGCATTGTCATGGTTCATCAACTTGAGCACGCGCTCGATCCTTTAGGAGGAAAAGATAACGGTTTCCTTTTTTGGTTATTATAATATATGATCATGATTATTAGAATCGAGAAAAAGATATAATTGAAATTAGGAAAAAGATTTTTGTTAATTTTAGGGATTTTGGTAGAGAAATGTTATTTCCTGTTTTTTTTCCGCCATTTTTTTCTGGAGATGGATTATATATTGGAGAGGAGATCGAGATGAATGTTAGATGCGGATACCAAGTTGACGTCGTAATCGCGAAGGCAGGTAGAGGGAAGAGAACGAACTATGTCGTGCAAAAAGCGCAATCTTAATTTTATTTCTGACGCTACTGATGTATCGCTGTAAAAAGGTCTTCGATCGTCATAAATTATTGTCGCGATTCCACTTCTCGCTCCTGGAACAGGATCGGATTTAGATATCTTGAAGTTTGCAGTTTTCGATAAACTGATATTGTTGATTTTTCGAAAATTTTTGATTTGTGGATATGTTTGGTACATCTTTATGTACCATTTGTGGATGCTTGCATTTAGTGAATGTTTACTAATTTTGGTAAATGTTTAGTATTTAGCAAGTGTTTACTATTTAGCATTTAATGAATGTTTACTAATTTTGGTAAATGTTTATTATTTAGCAAATTTTTTATGTTTGGTACATCTTTATGTACCATTTGTGGATGCTTGCGCATTTAGTGAATGTTTACTAATTTTGGTAAATGTTTATTATTTAGCAAATGTTTACTATTTAGCATTTGATGAATGTTCACTAATTTCAGTAAATGTTTATTATTTAGCAAATTTTTACTATTTAACAAATTTTTACCATTCAGCAAATGTTTACCATTTAGCACATGTTTAACTATTTAGCAACTGGTTTACAATATAGTTATATATCAATAAGTTTTTTTCAAAATTTTTTCTTAATAATAAAACGAAAATAATTAAAATTAAAACATTAAAAATACATGTGTGTTTTTTGATAATTTTTCATTCATATTTTTAAATACTAAAAGTACAAATAAAATTTTTTCAAATTACAATTTGTTCCTTTTTCCAAAATTTGAAATTTATATAGAATTCTGGAATGGGGAACAATTTGTAATTGAGAAAAGAGAAGAAAGAAGAAAAAAACAAACACGCAGTTCGAAAAGGAATTTAGAGAGTATGTAGTAGCATTAAATGAAATAATAGAAATTATTGTTGTATCAAATCAACTGAATCATAAATTTTAGAAGAGAGAAGAAAAAGAGAGAAAGAGATAGAAAAAGAATTCGTAATATAAAAACGAGAAATATGCTTCGAAATATTATCATTTTCCTTTAAAATTGTTATTTTGTCGAAAGAAAAGGGAATTGAGGAGGTCAGTGTGTATATTACTGTGTACAATCACAATATCTAAAACTTTCACTCTACTAATTTAGCATTATACTTATGATAATTTTCAGATAATTTTTAGAATTTTTAATCAAAATGAAAAAATTGAAAGAAATATTTTGGGTCCAAAATTTATATCTTTTACATAGTTCATCGTTAATGTTCGATTCTGTACAATTTTTATTTCATTGTCAGAATTTATAGTATTTCCTATCCTGCATCATTTAATAAACAATTTATTAATACATTATTTTGAAATTTAACGTAGTTTTTATGAAGTTTTTTAGCTTTGAAGTTTTCTATTATAATTAGCCTATTTTTACAATTAGACCCGTTTTTTGGAAATAGATGAAAATTCTGGGCATTTCCGATGAACCGATCTATTTTTTTCCTTTTCTGTATCAGTAAATAAATAATTCATTAATACATTATTTTGCAATCTAGCGTGGTCTTCCTGAAGTTTTTTGGATTTAAATTTTGTCTAAATTAAGTCTATTTTACATTTTTAGCCACTTTTTTGGTAAAAAAAAAAGAAAATTGTGATTGTTTCCGAAAATGCTAATTACTTGTCTTCTATTCTGTATAATTTGGTAAAAATCTAAAAATATAATAAAGTAGAAATTTTTTTACCCATTTTCTAAACATTTTTTAAAACTTAAAATAATTATCATTGTTATAAACAAAAATTTAATTTTAAAGAAAACTTTTAGAAAAATCCGTTAAATTTATCTTTTTTAAAACTTTCCTATATAAAAAACAGAAACATTAGGTACCAGTATATCTTCGTAAAAAATATTAGTGTATCTTTTTCAAAAAATTCTTAAAAATAAGAAATTCTATCATTTCTATTAAGAAAAATGGTTTTCCTAACAGACTTTTTCGACTTTTTTTTGATTTATTTTCAATTGAATTGCGATTTTTCTAGTGTAAAAAGTATAACTATAGACAAATATTTCAAAAATTATTTTTGAATTTTTCTTCTAATTAAATTTTTGAAATATACAATTAAATAATTTTTCAATAATTAAAATTTTGTAAAATTTAACAGAAAATAATTTATTTTTTCAAGTATTTTATTACAATTTTTAAAAAATCAACTTTTGAGGAGTTTCAATTGCAAATTTTGAAAATAATTGAATTCTCAAAAATTTCAATGAAAAATATTCAAGTTAAAATTCAATTATTTTCAATAATTTCAGTTACATATTTCCGAAAATTCAAATACGTAGAAAAAATAATAACATTAAAATTTTTTAGAATATTATTTTTAACACTTTGGAGAAAGAAATCATGTTCTAAATTTTTTATTAAAATTCAAAAAAATTAGTTTCTTTTAAATTGTACAAAAATTCTTTAAAGAAATTCAATTATTTTCGTAAAATTACATTGCAATATTTTTAAAAAACTGAGTCTAATAATTGTTCCTTTATAATTTTTTAAAATTCATTTTTATTAGATTTATTTTTATTCGAAGATACTTCGAACAAATAAATTAAAATTTTTGAGAAATCATGTTCATTTTTTAAATTAAAATTCCTCATAAAAATTTTATTATTTCTTTTTATATTTTTCAAAAATTCAATTATTGTTTAAAGATTTTACCAAATTTCAATTATTTGGAAATTATTCAATTGTACAAATTAAAAACCTGTAAACTTTTAAAAATTAATTTTAAGAATTTCTTTAATATAATTGTTTAAAAATCAGTTACTTTCAACATTTTTCGTTAAATATTTTCAATAATTCATCTTAATAACTTTTATAAAAAAAGAACCATAATCAGTTACAGTTACAATCATTACTGCAAAATAAACTAATTTCAATAAAAATTTTACTATTTTTTGAAATTTTTGAAATTTTTTTACAAATTTTAGTAAATATTTTTAAATTTGACTATTTTAATACAAATTTGACTAATTGTACTACAAATTTTAAAAATTTCATTAATTTTAATATAAATTTGGCTAATTTTAGTGAAAAGTTTTTGAAATTTTACTAATTTTTTCATATTTTACAAATTTTAATATACAAATTTGATTAATTTTAGTACAAAATTTTCAAATTATAATAATATTAATACAAAATTTATTAATTTTGAAAATTTCACTAATTTTAATACAAATCTTACCAATTTTTCAAATTTGACTAATTTTAATGCAGATTTGATTAATTTTATTAAAAAATTTGACTAATTTTAATATAGAAATTTGATGTTAGTACAAATTTTAGCAATTTTACTAATTATAATGCCTAATAACTTTTATAAAAATGAACCATAAACAGTTGCAGTTAGGTACAATAATTATGGAAAATTGAATTTTTGTATTTAAATAATTGGAAGAAAAATTAAAAATAATTGATTTGGAAATGGAGTTTCGTTAAAAATTGTAGAAAATAATTTAATTTTTGAAGTGTTATAATTCTAATTTTAAGAAATTATTAAATTTCAGAATTTTATTATAATTTTTCAAATTTTAATTTGAAATTTTTCTAATTTTATTTCCCATGGAAAAGCAAGTAGTAATTATTTAAATATTTATTTAACAAAATTATTCAAGTTTTGAAAAATTGAATTTAGAAATCAGTGAAAGGGGAAAATCAGAAGAGGACAAAATAAAATTCTTGTGACATTATGCATATGAATTAAATACACGACTTTTTTTTGACATTTTTTGTATTTTTTAATTGACTAAAGGGACTTTTTTTTGCTGCTTAAAGTCGATCCGACGTCTGCCAAACTTTGCAAGTAAATACTTCGAAGTTTGCCAGTAAATGTTTAATAAATTTTTATGAAAGTTTCTGTGATTTGTGGGAGAGAAAATAGAGGATAGAAGGTAAAAGGGAGAAAATTGAAGATAGATGATAAGAGAGTGAAAATAGAAGATAAAAGAGAGGAAATAGAAGAAAAAAGAGAGAAGATGGAAGATAAAAGAGAGAAAATAGAAGAAAAAAGAGTGAAGACAGAAGATAAAAGAGAGAAAATAGAAGAAAAAAGAAAGAAGACAGAAGATAAAAGAGAGAAGATAGAAGATAAAATCGAGAAAATAGAAGAAAAAAGAGAGAAGAAAGAAGAAGATATGAAACGTTCGAGAGCAATCAGTAGAGAATAAAATGGATAAAAATTCACTTCCTGGTTATAAATAAAAAAAAAAAAATTATTTCTCTATACAGTAGCGGATAGTGAAGCTTGGAATTAAGGAAGCAGTGATGAGGAAAAGGTTGATAGAGGAAGCAAGGGAGATGGTAGGATGAGGGGTGGGAGGGGGTGAGGGGGGACCGTTTTAAAGAGGGAAGCATTAAAAACAACAATGTCATTACATTTTA